GCATTCATTTCTAAAAACTCTACCGACATGTATTATATTCTATGTAAATGTACGTAGCTTGTTGCGACACAAAACAAAACAAATTTTAATTATTTCCATGGTCGTCATACATGACCCAGGTGAAAGAAATGAGTCAAGATTAGAGCTTATAGAATGCAGCGGCGGATCAAGCAAGAGAAGGCGCACAGGGAAAACGTTCCGAAGCTGAGAGATTTGTCCGGTATTGTGATTAGTAAATTTTCATAATGCGAATGCTCTAAACGTAAATCCCATCCCCAGTCACGTATAAGGTAAAAAGCAGGCTGCAGGAAAAACTTCCTTTATTGGTCCTACAAAAGTAGAATGTAAGCGTATCGAATTCCTTTGACCATCTCTTTGCGAAAACTAAAAGCGATTTGGGTTCATTGACTGCTTAATGTTAAGACATGAAACCGGGTATGCCAACCAAGAGAAATTATAACAATGTACATTAAGGTCTCAAAACTCTTGCTGTCAAAGACTCGCGCCAAGACCAACATCGTCGTTCTTTTAGTTTAATGTAAATTCCCCTACACCCCCTCTAGTACAAGGTTATTTATGCGAAAGATTTGAAAGAGGCCTATCTTGCATTACACCGATCGAGTTCAGACTCGCTTTTTGAATCGGATTAAGCTCGCCGGTCCGTGTGTCCATTTGTCCGTCTGTCAGTCTTATTTTCTTGCCTTTAACTCAAGCGTTGCAGTTTTTAGATGTTTTGATAAGGTTAACTGTTGAAAAATTTTCGCATCGGACCACTTTCCATATAATACTTCATTTTAAAGTAGCTACATGAGTACTGTAGGATGGTGTAAGCTATTTAATGGCGAGCCGTGGCCCGCTAGAGTGTTTTTACTTATTTTTATTTGAAACTTAAATACTTTTATAAACTTTGCCATCCTTTCTGCGTAATGGTTTCCCCTTTTGTCTTTTTGAAGTTTAAAGGTTGACGAGTCTGGAAAATCGCGATATGAAGCATTAACAAATCGGAGAGATATTTTAATAACAAAACTTAAACATTTGCAAGTAAAAATTTGGATTGATTGGAAACAAAAAATTGGCAAAAACCTTGAAATTGGCCTTCGGTCAAAGGTCTTTGTACTGCTTTCCATGATGGTTGAAAATAATGATAATAAACAAAACGATGGCTTCGCCTTGAGCAATGACAGTGGGATGAATACCAAAATGCTGAATATTCATCCGAGCCATGAGTTATTTACTTTCTTAGCCGAAATTAATTACTTACTAGCATTTCGACAACTATGTTCGACTGAAGGGAATACATTTTTGAACGACTTTCCTCAACTGTTGTGGGATTTTTATGAGGAGCGTGATGACTTATGGCAGAGGAAAATTAAACTAATGAAAATTATTCACTATTACAACGCTGTACAAGAAATGATTTCTAATGATGGAAAATTTAAACTGATTTCATGTGAAATAGATTCAATTAACGATTTAGTAGCAAAGGCTTGGCAAACTGTAACATGGCAAAATTATGGTAAGTACTAATGCCGACATCCGGGATATCTTAAATTGAACTTAATAAATTTAGAATTAAGCATAGACGTCATGTCTATTAACTCGAAGCAATAATGCTTCAATGCAAGGCTTTTTATACCAGCTGTGGTACAAGGATACATTAAGTTTGTGCGGATATGTGTAGCACTTAGAGAAATTTGAAATAGCTGCTGTACCGGTCGGTTTAGAATCACTTTCTGAATCGAGTTAAGCTTATCTGACCGTCTGTCCGTCTTGTTTTCTTACGTTCAAGCTCCATGCCAGAAACTTTTGCGATATTTAGATGAAATTCGGCACATTGACATTGTTCCTGAACTCAAGAATATCATGTTTAACACTAAAAAGCTTAATATAACCTCTAATCCTTTACAAATAGCGCTTGTTCATCATATTCGTGAATATAATAAACATATTATTTCAATGGACGGAATATTTAATTATCCCGTTTTAAGCCTTTTAATAAGAGTATCAGTTATTGATTATGTTTAATTTAAATACAAGCTACGAACAAACAATTCAGTGATGTTAATACCTGAACCATTGTACACATGCAAAAGAGAAACGATGGTACACTATAGTTATCATACTTTTTGTGACACAAAAGAAAACATAAAGAATAATTATCCCGTTTAGCATCGAAAATCAGTGAACGTTTTCGACCTACTCAGGAACAAATTTAATAGCACAAGCCTTTATCAGATGCACATAATGTGCTAGTGGCTTGATCCTCCATGCTCGAAACAGAAAAAGGGGGACAAACAACAGTCTTAAATTAACATTTGATGACGACGCCTGCTAAGATGCCTTTATTCAAATGATCCCGGCTCACAAGTCGACACGCCCTTATTCAACCACGTCCTTTACAATATATCGCTTTGAAGTGGAAAAGCTCAATGCGTTTCTCGAAAAACTCAAACACGTTTTTTTATTTTCTAAATATGAGCTTCATTAAATCTGACTCATCGTTTGGCTTTTCCTATTGCTCTAGCACTTGCGGGATTTCTGGGCGAAATATTAAATCTAAACATTTTTACAGATCAGTCTCTGCTACATTGAAAATCTTTTTTATAGAGCAAAACAGGTAGTTCGACAGGGAGGCCTCCCTTCCCTATACAGGGAAGCATCAAGAGTTTAAAGGGCAAAAAGAGTTAAAAAAAACATCTTATGCACGTAATATAAGATGAACATTAGAAACCGTATTGTTTGTCGGTGATAACACACACTCCTTCCATATAACATCATACACGCAATATCCGTAAAGTATATGATGAATTTGAAGTTCAAAGCGTTTTAGGCTTTAGTATTACGATAGTTCAATCATATAAAGCTATATAAGTGCGAGTTTTAAGTTTTTCTGAAAAGGACTCGCTCTTGAGAAATGGAAATTACATTTACATATATTTCTTATTATTGCAGATCACGATTTAATCGACAAAATCTATTGTGAATGCCAAGAATTGTATACTCGCTTAAAAACTTGTCATGACAATTTAGAATCGATTGCTACAAGTATTTGACAGTGGAGTCGCGATCCTTTACATCAACGAACTTTCAATAATAACAAGAAGCTGTTGACCGCAAGAAGTTTACAAGAGCGTTACAAAGCCCGTTTAACGCAATGTGAAGAATCGAGACTTTTAATCAATAAATTATTAAAAGAAAACCTTTACTTGTTATGCTCTAAAACCCGAGGGCAATTGGAAAGCGATCGCAATGTTCAAGAGGTTAGAAGTGCTTAACAAAAAGCAAATGATTGTTATGAGCTTTTGAATACACATGTATGCATATAATTTTAGTTTCTATTGTCCCTATCTGGCGAACAAAAACAAAAATGTAATAAACATTTGGTTGACGTTTACGAAACAATAAGCAGCGAAGTGTACGAAGGCATGAAGATCAGGTTAGAAGTAAATCTTTTTCAGGGTGACAGCAAAAAAAACCCTTTCATTTTGTTTTTCATAAATTAATTTATCATTAAATCATTCAATAAATAAGTAACAGTTGGTTCACATATACATGATTTTCATTCTTGACTGCGCAGACGTTATTTCGTAATCATTTGGGTTACTGTAAAAGAAAGAAATTTTGATATAAGCTGGGATACCTTCGATGAGCTGCTTCTCGGAGCAAAGCTTTAACCATTTAAAACGTTTTGCTAAGCCTGCGGCCAGGTAGGCAGTGACTGAAAGGAACTAATATACTTTTTCACTAATTTTGCACATAAATAATATCAAATTAATATCTGCTGGGTTCGGTAGGTTCTATTTTCCTAACCTACACCACTTGTCATGTTAGGGTATATTATATTTGTGAAAATGTAAGCAAAACCCAGAGGGACTTGAACTCTTTTATTACTTTAATCGAGCTTGCCTGTCCGTCTCGTTTGCTTACGTTTAACCTAAAGGTCGTAATTTTTAAGATATTTCGATGAAATTTGATATACCAAGCAATGTTTTCGACCAAGGACGAACGCTCTTGAAAATGCTTCAATTCTTTCCGCATTTTCGACCGCTTTCCTTATAAAGTGTTATTTAAAAAAATGGTTAATTGTAGTAAATAAAGTGATGTAGGGCATTTAACTGTGAGCTGCGTCTCGCTAATGTTTTTTCCTCTGTTTGGACGCAATCTTCGCATGGAGTGTTTGCATACACTTACCTGATTGGTACCTGTGTTTCTAGGTTCTTCACAAAAAGCATTATTAGTAAGCTTCTTAGAATTCGACAAAGGTTTTAATTAGGTACAGCCTTATTTTGTTTCTTAAAAGTCCTTTAAAAAGAAAAAAGTGTGAACGCTTTAAGAAATTTTTCATTTCTCGCACTTGGAGCTTAATTATCAACTTTAGTTAGACTAGTTACACCATTCATAGACCATTTCTATCTCCTGCTTGCCTTGTATCTTTGCTATAAACGTCTTTTTTGATTGCCTGTTTTATTAAAAAAATATTTACCATTTCTTGCTAAATAAATACCATCAGAAAACTCACTGCTTTACTATTCATTCAATTAACATACATTTATGTGATAGATGCTCTAAATTTATCTCAATGAATTTATGTAACATTTACGACTTCAGTTTAGAATATCTTTACAATGAAATGACAATTAATACAACAAATCCTGTTGAGCGTCTACCATCCCTAATCGGAAAAATACAAAAGAATCGACAAATTTCCGAGCACAGCAGAAATCAATGGGCAATGGAACGTAACGCGAGTTTATGTGATCAACGTACATTTGCGCAAACACCTCTTTTTGAGGTCGAATTGCATCTAAGCGATATAAAAATTTGCTTCAAACCCTCGTTTGAGGAAAATGAGAAAAATAATTTTCAGCGACTTTTCAACCAATTACTTGATGATGTCAAGGAAACGTATAAATACTTGCTGCGAAGTTTCGATGGCGACAGTTTATTATCACAATTCAAAAATAATAATGCAATTGCAATATTACGAGCAGAGGTAGAAGATTGGGAGATGAATTCAACACCTATTGCCACAATGACTAAATCGGGTTTGTATATTAATTTATTTACGTATGGTAATAATTTCATTAAAACAGCCATCGCAAGACAAGATAACACCCTTTATTACAACAAACCAAGACCATCATCAAGCTATAATCCGACTACGCCGATTATTAAATACCCTACTCTACATTGTCTAATGCAATTCTTATCTTTGCCATACAATACAAATATTATAACCTGGTTTCATAGGAACTTACTATTATAGAATTGTATATTAAGAGATTCAAAAATTCAGCACAGGCTATATCAAACTTCTATTATGGATCAAATTTCTTAATAATATACTAAAACTTGCACTTTTCTACCCTAAAAAAACAAAATTTTCGTGAAAATCTTTATATATGGTAGAATTGAAAAGTAGGCTTGGGTGGTCCAAGCTTTGTAGAGTTAATATTTATATCAAACTACTATTACGGATGACACCTCCAATTTTTCGCGAAAAAAAATAAAATTTTTTGTGAATATCCTTATCTAGGCTAGGATCGAAAGTATAGGACGAGATTGTCCAAATTTACTATAATTAAATTTTTTTATCTTAAATTACTATTATGATCTAATTTTCATGAAGCATTGAAAATTAGACTTTTTTGTCGTATGAACTTCAGTTCGGAGAGGATTCAGAGAGTTCCCCAGCTGGTCCAAAGTTTTCAAACCAATTTAGAATGTCGAAATAGTATTACTTTGACAGTTTTGCCGAGAAATCTTAAAAGTCCAATTTTTTTCCATATAACGATTTTCCGAAATAGGGCATTGTATGGGGAGTAGTCGAAAAAGACGATCGATCTAAACCGTTTTCAACAGCGTCTATTCTATTGGGGCAAAACACGTCGGAGTACCAAACTTCATCAAAATATCTCAAAAATTGCGACCTGTAGCTCGAACACAAATTTACTTTGACGGGCATCAAAAGGACAAACAGACATGCAGGCACACAGACATGCTTAGATCAATTCAAAAAATGATTCTGAATCGATCGGTATTACTATAGGTGGATCTATGTTAAGGCCTTATGCGTCTTATATACATCCACGCAGACTTAATATACTCCGTACCACAAATGGTGTAAGATATAAAAAGTATGGGGTTCCTCTAATCTAACAGTTTCGATATTCGGTTTGCGATGGCGCGTTAAAATCTTCGTAGACCGTGCTTTGGAATACTTTCTTTGCTTCCAGCTTCCGTTGCCCATTACAGAACTGTATAGTGGGCATTTTCGTCAATTCAGAATAGATAAAAAAAATTTACACTTCTTCTTTATCACATATTTTCATAAGCTCGTTAGGATATGATCTCCAGTCATATTGAGAATACCCGTTTAAAGCAAAATAGTACGTCGACATATGTGAATTGAGTGAACGCCACACAAGAAACAAAAATACATTCCAATTGCAATTTCTGGGTTAAGGGGTTTATAGCATAGGACAATGATATCAAAAAACAAAAAAAAAATTATGGCATTACCTACAACCATCTTTAAAATAATGTCACAGAAATCCCAAATCCAGTTCATTCCAATCAATTGATTTTCCTAAATAATAAATTCCCTAGAGAGCGAAAACCCAAGTCCACATTCGTGGCGCGTCATGCAGCTGCCGGCCGAGGCAAACGAATACTGGAAAAGCAGGTTAACTTATACAATTGTAATGTGCCTGTAATAATGTATATAAATAGACTTTTTGCGGAAGGCAGAGTCAGTCGGAAAAGAATGTAGATAGTCATACCCTTAAACAAATTGATTGTAAATAGAGGATCTTAAAGTGAAAACGTGGAAATGTATTTCTCTTGGAAAAGCCACGATCTAGCGATACGAATCGTATCCGAGAATAGCGAATTTGGCAAACGGTAATATATTTTGAAAACTATGTACACCTGCACTTACATATACCGTGAAAGTACGCGTGAAAACGACTAAAACCTTTCTGCTTGAGAGCAGCATTAGAGATAATTTTCGTTTATTTAACCAGTTGTATGTTTATTGAAGTGGTGGGCATATTATATATATAAAAATGCATAAAATGTCAATTGGACTATTAATAATAATTACATCGAACATTTTATATCCAAAACAAGCCCAATAGGTCTATGCAAAAATTTTGTGCGAACGAAAACTTGAGCTCAAATCTATGGAAACGATGAATAAAGAAGTAAAAGTTACCATTTATGAGAGTGCATTTGTTCTTCTTTTCTTTTCGCAATATCAACAACAATACAGATAAAATTCATTCTTTCCCTGGCAGAGTCTAGCTGAGATATAATAATTTTCTGCCTTGGAAAAGAATTCTTTGTAGCAATTTGGCAGAGTACTGGCTTTTACAATTCTCTCCTATTTCTAATTAAAATTATGTTTTATTTGTATATTTGCAAACACACACACAGCCGCATAGGCACGCACACTGAAAATGAACGAAACTCTAAGACGAAGAAAAACGGACACTATTTTTCGAAAATTGAACACTTTCTTAAGAATTTTCTATTACTTGTCGTTGAAAGAAACCGCAGCGAACAAACGTTTCCGCGATATGAATAGAAGCCTTGATCACCCACACATAACTTTTAAATTTAACGTTTTCGTAAGGATCTAAGTTTAAAGCAAGCGCAGCGAACAAAAGTTTTCCAATATTTCAAATAATTGTTAAAATTTCACGATCGATTTGACGACGCGTTAAATGTGTCCCTGTAATATCTTTTCCAGTACTTAACCAATGTATGTTTGTTTCTATTATAATACACTTATTTTATTCGACTAAGGTGAGATAATCGTTTCTATTTCTCTAACCTTAATTCTTAGCTATTTGAGCGATTATTTTTGTGTTTTCAAAACTTCAGGTGGTGGACAGCTACACAAGATTTACTAGATAAACATATCCTTTCTCTAGTTGTTTTTAATTAAATTGCTTTCTAAACTTCAGATTTATTGAAAAAGCGGACTACTGCCATTAGAGATAAACTTAATGGATCAATAAATGCTGCCAATTTATATGCCTCCCAATTTGAAATTTACTCACATTTGTGGAACGAAAAGTACATTAATGTTCTTAAGAAGAATTTACGAGATGCTCGTAATTTCGACTCGACTTGCTACTATATCTTGGATGTTTTTAAACAGTCTGTAAGTATCTATCTTAAAAGACTTGCGTAGGTAGTATCCCAAAAAAATATATATATATATAAAAAAATATATATGAAAACTCTTATGCACATCTATTAATCAGTATTAGTCAAAAAAAATTTCTCGGATTCCCGATTTTTCAAATCGCTTATGATTTTTATTATTAAAATAAAATTAAAATGCACACAATGGATTGAACAAATTTTCAATTTATTTATTTAAATAGATTGAATATTATAAAGACTTACATGAAAACATAGATCAACTTGAAGAAAAACATTGCATTCAAAACTGGCTTTCAATAAACGTGAAACCTCTTAAGTACAGCTTATTAAATTCGGTTTGTAAATGGATTGAATTTTTCAAGGAACGCTTATTCAAATACATGGAGAAAACCATTCAAGTAAGTTTTAAAATCCACTTTAAACTATTTGTATTCATTTTTTTCCGTTTCATTTTTGTATTTACACGAACTTATTTTTCACTTTCTTTAATTGAAAAATACTAATAACTCTCTTCAGGAAAAATATTACATTTTGGCGATTTTTCTCTTTAGAATATATAACAGCACACTAACCTTGACTTCCTATATAAACGTAATAATTGTCGTCACGTATAATTCTGACAGAATGTATAAGACAGACATAACATACCGTCTCCGCTTGTGAATGTGATGAATACAAGTAGACAAGATTTCGAAAGGAACAAGGATGGGTTTAAAGAAGGACATAGCCAGCACATTGCATACATGTCCGATATAATTATCGGATACCCTTTCCCTTTTGTTCTTTGTGCAAAAAGATGATGGAATTAAAATTATTGTTACATAGAATTTACATATGGCTGTTACGATAAGGTTTAACTTGCAATGCATTGTAGTGTATCAGAAAAGGCATTTGTGAGAAGACTGACTCTTGGTCTTCGGAGAGAACTGTTGCTAAGTCGTAACGGATGACGGGAAAGGAATGCGCTACAATATTCGTACCGCAGAAATCATATTGATAATCGTATAGCCAACAAAGATTACAAAATGAAAAGAATCCCCGTAAAGAACAAAAGATAGAAACTTATTACCCCGATATTTGACGTTTTGCTCCAGTAAATCTATTAGTCTCTTATATCCCTCTATATACTCGAGAGGGTCAATGTCTAAGTACTAAGGCGAATATATGACTTACACGCTATCGACTACTTTAACTTTGGAACCAGATAGGTAAACACAAAGAAATAAAAAAAAGTGAAGCAAAGAAAAGAAAATTTTCCCGCATATTTCGGATCGAAAATCATAACATTGTTTTTCAAAGTTTAACTAATAATTTATATATTTGCTTATGTATTTTCAGAAGTACGACATTTTTATCGAAAGAGGCTTCAACTTGCTGCAGTTGCATATAAAGCGTGATGATTTAGGAACTCTTTTACAAATACTAACAATAATTAGGCAAATTTATGAACATGAAGCTGAAACTGATAATATATTTAAGCCATTGAAAGAGGCCGTTGCTTTACTGAAGAGTTATGGTGCGTGTTTTAATGCGGAATTCTTACGAAAAATCGATCATCTGCCCGCCCAATGGAATCAACTTAAAAGGTTAGCCACAACAAAATCCGAAGCGTTACGTGAAACCAAATTATATCAACAGCAAAGAATAGCGACTCTTACAATGATCTTCTCTTGCTACGCGCAATCATTTGCTAAACGTTTCCATCGAATGACGGCAAGCAAACGACGCATTTCAAGTCTATTCTATATTAACAGTAATACATTTCGTAATTTTCTTTGCAGTTTTTTAAAGTTCCATGCCCCGAAGTTTATTCGCTCTGTGATAGGATTTGTCAGAAATTAAATTACTATTTCACCACACATCAAAAAATATCGAACTGTTCACAAGTTCTTGAAATTGACCCACCGGACTATGAGGTTTTGCATAAATGCAAAATGCAAATAAAACATATAAAAGTAAGTGCATAAGTAAGTATGTCTATGGGCAAACAGATCGACTAATTATCTTGATTTCCTTTTCTACTTTGCATAAGCAACTATGGGATTATGTTAATGTTATTGAATCTAGTGTTAATCACTGGCGCACTAGGTCTTGGCTTAAATTAGACATTGATGATGTAGAGAATTACTGTAAGCAGTTTACACGAGATCTACGTTCTCTTGATAAGAGCATACGAGATTGGGCACCGTACTTGCATATCGTAAGACTGCTTAAAGAATTAAACTCTTCTTTTCGAACCGTTACCGAACTTCAAAATCCGGCATTAACGGAACGTCACTGGATGGAATTGATGACTGAATTAAAGGTGAGCTTGGATGGACTCGATCACGATTTTTAACAAAAAATATTGCGAAATTTATTCATTGTTTTCATTTGATTTGCTTTTTAAGATGTCAACAACTTATTCCTCGGACTATTTGGTAAGTTTAAGAAGACAATTTTACATTACCCATAACTAGAGTATAAAACGGGGGAGAGGCGAATTACTTTTTTGCCGTTCTGCTTATAACAGTCAAAGAACTTATCATTTATATATGATATTGAAGTCCTTCACAAAATTCTTGCGTTCAAGCTATGGGTCGTAAATATTTTGATAAGATTTGGACATATTTTTGCCGCAGACATTAAAACAAGCCTAACTATTTAGCGCCCAATTTAAGAAAAGCCTGCAAGTTACAATTTTTATACCCTACACCACTTCCGTCACAACGTTATATTAAGTTTAAGCGGATATATGCATCGCCGAGAAGGACTTGAGATAGTCCTGTCTTTAATTACACAGAGCAATTCTGCCTCGATCTAAGTTTCCCTGCCGGTCTGTCCTTCTTGTTTTATAGTATTCAACTTAAAGCTCACAATTTTTGAGATATTTTGAAGAAATCTGGTACACTGACATATTTTAGCACAAGGACCAACACTTTTGAAAATGACTCCCATCGGACCACTTTTCCGACCACATAATACCTTATTTTGAAAAGTCGTTAAAGTCGTCGTCGAATAATTCCAATAAGCAAAATGGGTCAATAGAGGACCGTGTGCCACTAGTAATGTTTTTGCTAGTTAATATTCGAAAATTTGCTGAAAGTTTGGATCGAACAGTACAATGCCACGGCCCATGTCGCACGACGTGTCCCACTGTAGTGTTTTTACTTGTTAAAATTTGTTAATATCTGATGACATGTTGAACATTTGAATCGAACGGAACAATTGCGCGGCCCAACTGGCAGGCTGCGTCCCACTATAGTCTTTTGACTTGTTAGTATTTAAATATGTATCGATAAGCTTCCCTTCCACCGAAGTGGGCAGAATGCCCCGTCCATATAAATATCTCCACTTAGCATTTAGGAGCTAATCACACCCAGGGCGAGCGAATGCCGTGTTCTTACTCCATGTGCCATCTACAGCCGCTTAAGCCTTCACGGCACGAAGCGTAGCATTCTTACGTGTTAACCATATTTCTTTTCAAATTTTTAAAAGCTTTCTTTAAAAATAAATCCACGTACTACACTCGACGAGCTGTCATCACTGGGTCTTTATAAACATGAAGAGGAAATTAAGAATTTTGTTGATCGTGCGGTTAAAGAGATGGCTGTAGTTAAAATGTTGGACGAAATTAATAAGACTTGGTCATTTATGGAATTTTATATCGAGCCCCATCATCGTCGCCAAGAAATAAACATGCTAAAAGTGTCTGAGGAATTTATAGAAATTCTAGATGATAATCAAATTCAGTTGCAAAATATGACGGCATTAAAGCATGGGACGTACATCAGTGAGAAAATCAATTATTGGCAGAATATCTTGGCTAAAGTGGAAATATTTATCAATAGTTGGCTGGAAGTACAGAGGAAATGGATGTACTTGGAAAGTATATTCATTGGTTCGCCGGATATAAGAGCACAACTTAGTCAAGATACAATGCATTTCGAAGAAATTGATGAAAATTTCAGATCATTGCTTAATAAAGTTGTTTCGGTGCGCACTGCCAAAGCAATTGTTTTGGAACATGAAGATATGTTTGCAACGTTGATTCATTTGCAGGAACAGTTGACACTTTGCGAGAAAGCTTTATACGAGTATTTAGAGACAAAACGTATGACATTTCCCCGATTTTATTTTATCTCATCTGCTGATCTCTTGCATATACTGTCGAATGGTAGTAATCCTCAGATAATAGATCAACATTTAATAAAACTTTTCGATTCAATACTACGGTTAGTGTACAATGCTGGTACCACGCAAGCGATAGGCGTTATATCCAAAGAAAACGATGAATATGTTCAATTTATGTCGAATTATATCGAGTGCTCCGGTAAGGTAGAATTGTGGCTAACAAATCTGATCGAAGAAATGCGTTATACTTTACATGAACTCTTCGATCGCGGATTGCATGCGTATGCGAAGAAACCTAGAGAAAATTGGATTTTCGATTGGCCTGCACAAGTCGCGCTATGTTGCAGCCAAATCTATTGGACTGCGGAAGTAAATAAAGCATTTGTCTGGATTGAAGAGGGTTACGAAGCTGCGATGCGAGAATTTCACAAGCAGCAAGTAAGCCAATTAAATGCGTTGATAAATCTTTTAATGAGCGACTTGAAGCCGGGAGATCGGCAAAAAATTATGACCATGTGTACCATAGATGTTCACTCCCGGGATGTTGTTAACAAAATTATTTCGGGCAAAGTCGATAATTCTTCAGCTTTTCCTTGGCAAAGTCAATTGCGTCACAGATGGGATTCCAATAATAGGAAAGACACATCTTCAGGTTATGCTATGGATTGTTTTGCGAATATTTGTGATGCAGAATTTCAGTATGCTTACGAATATCTGGGCAATACCACACGTTTAGTGATTACACCACTTACAGATCGTTGCTACATTACCTTAACTCAGGTGAAATCCTCAATTTTCCTATCATCGGTATATGTTTATTAGGAAAGAAAATGTTTTCTTCTTTAACACGTAAGTCATTGCATTTAGTGATGGGAGGTGCAACAGCGGGCCCTGCTGGTACCGGCAAGACAGAGACTACAAAAGACCTAGGGCGAGCCTTAGGGGTAATGGTTTATGTTTTCAATTGCTCGGAACAAATGGATTACAAGTCCTGCGCTAATATCTACAAAGGTTTGGCGCAAACAGGAGCATGGGGATGTTTTGACGAATTTAATCGTATCTCAGTTGAAGTGCTTTCAGTTATTGCGATCCAGGTTAAAACTATTCAAGAAGCGATAAAGGTTTTCTTTTCAAACTCTGATTTTACAACTTTCACTTGCCTTAACTGAATTTTATTTCAGATGTTTAAAAAAAAATTTTTGTTTATGGGCGAAGAAATAGCGCTCGAGCCCTCTGTAGGTATCTTTATTACTATGAATCCAGGTTACGCCGGACGCACGGAATTACCGGAAAATCTAAAAACTTTGTTTCGCCCGTGTGCCATGATTGTGCCGGATTTCGCGTTAATTTGCGAGATAATGCTAATGGCTGAAGGATTCCAAGATGCTTATAGATTAGCTCGAAAATTCATCACTTTATACACTTTGTGCAAAGAGTTGCTATCGAAACAAGACCACTATGATTGGGGATTACGGGCCATCAAATCAGTATTGGTGGTTGCTGGGTCTCTAAAACGGGACGACCGTAGCCGACCGGAAGAACAAGTGCTTATGAGAGCTCTACGCGACTTCAATATACCAAAAATTGTCACTGAAGATGTATCAATATTTACGGGTCTTATCGGCGATCTTTTCCCAGCAATAGATGTGCCTCGTAAAAGAAGATTTGATTTCGAAAAAACAGTACGACTTGCCATAACTGAAATGAAATTGCAACCGGAGCAACGTTTTCTTATGAAAGTTGTTCAGCTGCAAGAGTTATTCGATGTACGTCATTCTGTGTTTATAGTAGGAAATGCGGGAACAGGCAAAACAAAAACTTGGCAAACTCTACATGAAACCTATCATATGCAAGGATTGAAGCCTGTTTGCAACGTACTCAATCCAAAAGCCTTAACTAACGATGAACTATTCGGTATTGTTAATGCCAAGACGCGAGAATGGAAAGATGGCTTGTTTTCATCAATTATGCGAGATCAAGCCAATATGACGCAAGATAATCCTAAATGGATTGTACTTGATGGTGACATAGATCCTATGTGGATTGAAAGTCTTAATACTTTAATGGATGATAATAGGATTTTAACTTTGGCTAGCAATGAACGAATTTCTCTTAAGAAAGAAATGCGCCTAATTTTTGAAGTCGGTCACTTAAAAGCAGCTACACCGGCGACGGTATCTCGAGCCGGAATATTATACATTAACACGCAAGATTTGAGCTGGTCATCGTAAGATCATTTTTAAATTAACATAAATGATCAGAACGGTAGGTAATCCATTTCAATGTTAATTTTAATTTCAGATATGTTGTATCGTGGCTCGAAACCCGCACAGATCTTATTGAACGGAGTATTTTGACAACTCTTTTCGAAAAATACTATCCTCGACTAATGCAACATCAGCAAAATTTCAAACGCATTATACCTATCCCTGTAATAGCTATGATTCAAATATCATGCCATCTGCTAGAGAGCTTACTTGAGACATCACTCAAGTCGAATAGCATCTTAGTTGAGACATCGAGGCTTAGCCAGCCTTGCAATTCTCAGCATAACAATGATACTACAGAAATTATGGAGACCCATTTAACATTAATGTTCACTTATGCCACTATGTGGGGATTCGGGTCCATTCTACATGAGGATCAAATCATTGATTGGCGTCGCGAATTCCATAAATGGTGGACATCAGAATTTAAGGACATCAAATTGCCTTCGCTCGGAACTATATTTGATTATTATCTGGATGTGCAAGCTCAAAAATTTACACCTTGGGCCGACGTGGCTTGGCAAACACCTTGTAATTTAATTGATTTGGATACACCGCTGCAGGTTTGGTTTGAAAAAATTTAAGAATATTCCAGTAATACATTCGCTTTAAGGCGAACCTAATTCCCCAAATGATTGATGATTGAAAATGCTTAGAAGTAGAATGAATTTTATCATTCAGTTTTCTTAATCTTAGTTCCCGTACATCGTCCATCCGTTTGCTCGTCCGTCGACTGCATCTGTCTGCTCTTCAAACTCCTAAAATCAAAATTAATCAACCTTCGTTAACAAATCTGCAAAATGCGGGTAAAAAATAATCAATAGTCGCAACGTCAGCTTGACAAAGTCACAAAGAGCCCATTACGATGTAGGAGCATTTAAATATCCCAAATTAGGTGAAGACACTTTCTATCTATTGGTATTATATTGTTCGGTATCATCTCATAGAATATTTTAATTCAAACCGCGGAAACAAATCGACTCATGTATTTTTTGAAAACACTTATGGAACGAAATTTGCCTTGCATGTTAGTTGGGACATCGGGATGCGGTAAAAGCTCTATATTTCGTGAGCTTTTTAAAAAATACACCAGCTATCAAGACGCCATCACTATAAAGAACTCTTCCGCTTCAACTGTTATACAAGAAATTCATTTCAACTTTTATACGACCTCAGAGATTCTACAGAAAATTTTAGAATATCCTTTGGAAAAAAAATCGGGAAAATGTTACGGACCTATAGGCTCTAATCGTCGATTAATTTACTTTATCAATGACTTAAATATGCCAAAAGTCGACGCTTACGGTACTGTACAAGCTCATACCATTATACGCCAATTTATGGATTACAGACAATGGTAAGGACTTTGGCTTTCACTTGTTGGCTTAATATTCAAATTACTAATCAATTTTTTCCTTTGTTTTTCAGGTACGATCGCCAACATTTACGACTGAAAAACATACGTAAATGCCAGTTCGTTGCTTGTATGAACCACACTGCTGGATCCTTTACCATAGATCCGCGTTTACAACGACATTTTTGCATATTTTCTTTAGCCGCCCCAAGTGAGGAGACACTTCATTACATATATGGTACAATTCTTAGTTCACATTTGGAAAATTCAAGCAATAATTTTTCAAAGGAAATCAAAATGATCGGCGACCTTTTGGTACGTGTTGGGATTTACCTTCACCGAAGAGTTGAATATCTTTTTCCAGCAACAGCTTTAAAATTCCATTATACATTTAATATGAGAGACTTGACAAATATTTACCAGAATGTAGGGAACAGCGTTGGCGTTAGTAATACCGGATCGAATGCAGCGTTGACAAATTTCACTGGAACAATTTGCAGTAAACCTTCAGATCTCATTCGCTTGTATGTTCATGAAGCATTTCGTGTTTATCACGATCGACTAGTGGATCAATTCGATATCAAATCGTTCAAGAGCTCAATTCGAGACGTTTTTAAAAAAGATTTTGAAGACTTTGATGAAGAATTTGTATTTTCAGAACCATTAATATATTGTCACTTCACGCAATCATTAGTGGACCAAAGATATATGCCAATTAGTGGTTGGCAGCGTTTATATGAATCACTTATGGAAGCTTTAATCAATTATAACGACGTCTCCGGTCATATGAACTTGGTTCTTTTTGAAGACGCTATGAAACATTTGTGCCGGTAAGTCCCATTAGTTGGAATAGAGTGACTGATTTTCCTAAGAATAAGTACATTTTATTAATTATTTAGGATAAATCGAATTTTAGAAAGTCCCTGCAGTAATGCTTTATTAGTGGGTGTGGGAGGATCCGGCAAACAAACATTAACTCGATTGGCTTCATTTATATCATCTCTGAGTATCTTTCAAATACAAATAAAGAGAGGATTTTGCTCTCAGGACATGAAAGATGAGATGGCTGCATTATATATGAAAGTTGGATTGAAAAATATCGCTACAGTATTTTTAATATCTGATACGCAAATACCCGATGAATCAATATTAATTTATATAAATGATTTCTTGGCTTCTGGCGAAATACCCGATCTTTTCAGCGACGATCAATTAGAATCTATAATGAATACTATACGCGGCGAAGTGAAACAAAGTGGAATACTTGATATAAAGGAAAATTGTTGGCGCTATTTTGTGATGAAAGTTCGCAGACTTTTAAAGGTAGTGCTATGTTTTTCACCCGTCGGCCATAGTTTTCGCCGGAGAGCTAGAAAATTTCCAGCGATAATAAAGCATACAAGTATTGATTGGTTTCATGAATGGCCCGATTCAGCTTTGGAATCAGTATCTCGGAAATTTTTAAACGAAGTATCTGAAAACATTTTACCGGTAAATTAAGTTTGATTTAATGATTGCTTTAGAAAATTAATCGAAATATATCCTTATTTTTAGCACAATTTCATTAAACCCATAAGCACATTTATGGCTTACGTACATGGGACAGTAAATCAAATTTCCAAAGTATTTAAACAAAATGAAAAGCGATTCAATTATACGACACCGAAAACATTTCTTGAATATATCTTTTTATACCGCAAACTTTTAATTGAAAGAAACGACGAGTACACCAAACGCATTAATCGCTTAGAAAGCGGTATGGCGAAATTAGCGGAATGTTCAATTCAAGTAGAAATTTTAAAGGTAAAGCATTTCAATCAGATAATACGCAGATAAGACAGTTTTTACATTCGAAGAAGAAACAACAACAGATGGGAACTATAGGGAGACGTATATAGATGATTCCGACATTAAATTTTCCACTGAGCTCTATGTAACAGGTTACACTTAAGCAACTCTTTGCTCGCTGCTAAGAGTCGAGAACGAGTCATGCTTCTAACTAGCTCTCCGCACTTCGATTATCGCCCCATATCGAAACCGAATGGAACCGAGTTTTTTTTATGAAACATATTTGCAATTTTTAATATCAAGATGGATAGGAGGGTTTTTTAAACTACTTTCATAGAAACCCTGCTTAAAAAAATAAGTTTTTAGATAGCAAAATGTGCTGATATGTGGCCAAAAATAATGCTTTGACATATTGGTGCATGTTGGCGCACGCCATGAAAGTCAAATCCTTATAAGAAAATAAAGTGTAAATTTTGGCATTTTACGAACGACGAAAATAGTGGCGGAGGATACTTTTATAATAAATCTTGCACGAGTATATAGTTTTAACTTGTTTTCATCCATTTTATAGGATCAACTTGCAACGCAACAAATACAGCTTAATGCTAAAAATAGTGCCGCTGATAAATTAATCGGAGTCATTAGCTCTGAAAGCGAAAAAGTTAGGAATGAAAAAAATATTGCTTCTGAAGAGGAGAAACGTGTAAAAATAATTGAGGAAGATGTCTTAATTAAAACAAAAACATGCGAAGAAGATCTAAGAAAAGCAGAACCAGCTTTAGTTGCTGCCCAGGCAGCTTTAAATACGCTTAACAAAAACAATTTAACGGAACTGAAATCATTCGGTTCACCTCCAAAAGCTGTAGTCAATGTATGTGCGGCCGTTATGGTGCTTTTGGCCGTCAATGGGAAAATACCTCACAATCGTAGTTGGAAAGCGGCTAAATTGATGATGGTACGAGTTGATCAATTTTTAAATGATTTGATTAATTACAACAAGGAAAACATACATCCAAATATAATCGATCTATTGGAAAAATACCTCGAGGTAAGTATATATAAAAAATGTTTTTCCATTGCATATAAGAGGCGATCGTAGTTCAATAAGGGACCAAGTAATTTGCTAATAGAACTGTTCCTCCTTAAAGCTTATTCCATTTTATCATTTCGACTAGAAGATGTCCAGCTAAAATGTTTCGGAGATTATTGGCTTTTACAGCTTGGCCTAGGTTTGTTGAAAAGAAAGTATGACCGAAAGATGGAACCGTACTCTAAGTAATCAATTTTGGTAGATGTAATTGCTTTTCATTTTTTACCTGCTTAAATAAATGTTGCTATCCACTGAACAAAAAGTACGTGTATGTCATCATAGTTATGTGCATTGAAAATGATCTTGCTGCCCGATTTGATTTAGAAGCATTGAGACCCAGACACCCAAACGGATTCGAAATAGACTCCCGTTTTACTACACCCTTTTTATTACACCGATCAATTTAAGATCACTTCATGAGTCGATTTACGGTTGTCCGTCCGTCTGTTTGTCTTGCTTTATTGTATGTAACATACGGTCCGCTATTTTCGAGATATTTTGATGAAATTTAGTGCACCGACTTTCTTTCGCCCAAGGACGTACGCTATTGAAAATGTTTTGAAAGGGACCACCTTTTTGACCACTTCCCATACGACGCCATATTTTAAAAACTCATTTTCTGAATATAGGGAAATTAGCGGTGGGTTCTGCAATCCTTTGCATAAAATTCGCGTAAGAAGCCACGCATGCGACGAGTACAAATCTGTAGTATCTCCAAGTGTGTAGGATGCGAAACCTCAAAAGCATAAATATCAATGTTTTGGATTTTATCGCTTACTATAGAAAATTGGTATCAATGTTAACTTGACGTTTTTGCAACGTCTCTAATCGAATATTTTAAAATTGTATATATCTTTTAAAGGATCCAGAATTTAATCCGGATAAGGTTGTACAAAAGTCTGTAGCTGCTGCGGGCCTTTGTGCATGGGTTATTAATATTTATCGTTATTATCAAATCTTTTTATTTGTTGGGCCAAAACAACGGGCTCTGAAAGATTCTCAAGAGGAATTGAAAAATGCCAGGGAACATTTACATTATTTAAAAAGCAAAATAATTAGTTTAGAGCATAAACTCGCTCAGATACAAGCCGAATTCGAAGAGGCTGTAAACGCTAAGCAAAAATGCCAAGCAGACGCTGATAAAACTACGAATACCATCGATGTGGCACATCGCCTAGTAAATGGATTGGTTAATGAAAACATACGCTGGAAACAATCTGTGCAAAGGTGCGAATATTTGCACAGATTTCTTTTCACCGATATGATATACTAATTTTAATCATCCCAAATAGTTTGATTTCTAAAATTGCAACATTACCTGGAGACATGCTATTAATATGCTCCTTTTTGTCTTACGTTGGATCTTTTACTAGACGATATCGTGATGAACTGCAACAAAAACTTTGGATACCGAATTTTAAAAAGCTTCAGGTATAAATAATCATTACTTGTGTTATTATCATTTTAAGTTAATCGGCTTTCTTTTATTACCTTTTAGCCTGCAGTTCCTCACACAGACGCGGAAAATTTTCTTATGTTATTTACCGACGATGCGCAAATTGCTATTTGGAATAACGAAGGTTTACCAATGGATCGTATGTCAACCGAAAATGCTACAATTTTGGTGAATTCTACTTGCTGGCCACTAATAATTGATCCACAATTGTAAGAACTGCATGAAACCTTTATATTGAGCACCAATATTAACAATCAATTTGAAAAGAGTTTTATAATCATCATTAAGAATTAAAAGTCATTTTGAATACTACTCTATGTAAAGTAACTGTTTACGAAGAACTAAGAAGTAAGAAAGTTATATTCGGCGGGAACCGAATCTCGCATATCCACCACTATGTTTTTCGCATTCTACTTCCCAAACTTTTTTATTTCACAACTATATCGCAGGTAATATTAAGAAAACATTAGTCGCGGTCTCCACTATATTCATTTTAAAATTACCCCATCTTTAGGCAGATAATACATCTCCATTTGAGGAGTGCACAAAATAGTTTTAAACTAGTTTTAAATAGTTTTAAAATAGTTTTAAAATAGTTTTTTAAGTATTAACCCTCAGAAAATTGAAAAAAAATAAATTTAATTACTTGTAACTCTGTATGGGCAGCCGATTGGCCCTACTTTTTTGACCTAGAGAGTAAATTGTCTTGTAAAGCAAATGTGGAAAGTTTCAGACTTCCATCTTTAATAAATTCCGACTAACGAGCAAAACTCCAAAAATTTTTGTTAGAAAAAAATGAGTTGCGTTCAGTTTACGCTCCATTACGCGCTTTTGCTCGGACCAATTTGGCCAATTTTCAATACCAACTTGCACGCAGAAACTCCCAATTTTTCCACCAAATTTGAAGTCGATAACTTCATTTTTGCGACCAAGAGAGTACCACACGCAGTCACATGGACATGGGAAAAATCAGTTCAAAATCTCTCTCTCTATCTCTGAAGCTTCCTTTTGGGTGTTACATATATTTAAAAAAAAAGAGTAAAATGACTATACCCCATCTCACAGTGGTGGGTATAAAAATCAAATTACAATTGAACTTTAAATTATTAAGCGATGAGTATAAAAACACTTAGTTAGAGTGTACGATATAAGTAGCTTAAGTAATTTTCGTCTCAGGCAAGGCATCAAGTGGATTAAAAATCGTTTTGGCGAAGCTTTAATTGTTATACGCCTGTCAGAGAGAAATTTTTTAGAAAAACTCGAGAGTGCAATTACCAAAGGTGATACAGTCCTTATGGAACAAATTGAAGAAACTGTAGACACTGTCCTTGATCCTCTTATGAGTCGTTTCCTTATCAAAAAAGGCCATTATATACGTATCGGCGATAAGGAATTAGAATTCAATCCGAATTTTCGTTTAATTTTGCAAACCAAGCTAGCGAATCCTCATTTTAAGCCCGAAATGCAAGCGCAAACGACACTCATCAATTTTACTGTTACTCCAGATGGCCTTGAAGAGCAACTTTTGGCAGAGGTTGTAAAAATGGAACGACCCGATTTGGAAAAAATGAAAGCCAAGCTTACAATTCAGCAAAATAAATTTAAAATATATTTGAAAGATTTAGAAGATGATTTATTGGCGCGCCTTGCATCAGCGAAAGAAAATATTTTGGATGACAATGAATTGGTGCAAAATCTCGAGGCGACTAAACGTACTACAGACGATATTGAAATCAAAGTGAATGAAACACGCGCTACTGCCATGCAAATTGATGACGCACGCAATATGTACCGTCCGGCTGCAAATAGGGCTTCCCTACTATATTTTATTCTTTTTGATTTGGGACGAATTAATCCGATTTATCGATTTTCTCTCAAGTCCTACATGCACGTCTTTAAGCAGGCGATAAAACTGGCCGCACCAGAAAGTCGTCAAAATAAGCGCGTAGCTCTGCTTGTCGAGTCGATTACGCTGCGAACGTTCCAGTACACTATTAGAGGACTATTCGAAGTGGATAAATTGACCTTTACAACGCATATGACTCTTCGTCTAATGGCCAATTCAAAATGTATTTGCGCAGAGGAAATCGATTTCTTATTACGATATCCCCACGATCCCAATACTTCGGCGCCTGTTGATTTTATCAATTCAAATTCATGGGGCGGTATAAAATCATTGTCACTTTTAGAGGATTTCTATGGCCTGGATAAAGACATCGAAACGTGCTCTAAACGATGGCGCAAATTCATAACAAGCGAAGCTCCTGAACTGGAGCAACTACCGGGCGAATGGAAACATCGTACGCGTTTACAAAAACTTTGTATATTAAGGGCAGTGCGTCCGGATCGTGTAAGCAATGCTCTAAGGTAAATGTCTCAAGTCAATCTTTTTGCAATCGTTTCCTTAATGAATATATCTACTTACAGAGATTTTGTGGAGCAAACCATGGGAAAAGAGTATGGTACTATCAAGTCGTACCAACTTGGAGAAATTTTAAAGGAAATTTCTGCATATATTCCAGTGGTATTTATACTCTCACCAGGTGTTGATCCAATAAGAGACGTGGAATCTATTGGCTCCAAGCAGGGCTTCACTTCCGAAGCAGGAACGCTAATAAATATATCACTTGGACAAGGACAAGAAATTGTAGCTGAACAAGCTATTGGCACTGCCTTGAAAACAGGTCAACAATGGGTAGTGCTGCAAAATATACATCTTGTTAAGCATTGGTTGCCTACTTTAGATAAGTTGATTGAAAATATTTCGTCGGAAAGGCTTCCTAAAGCGGAATCAAACTTTAGATTATTTATTAGTCTCGAACCAGCTCCAGATCCCCAATATCATATTATACCTCAAGGTATTTTGGAGTCTTCTTTAAAAATAGTGAACGAACCTCCATCGGGAATGGCTGCCAATTTGCATAAGGCTTGGGATAATTTTTCTTCCGATACATTAGAAACATGTACTCAAGAGGCGGAATTTAAATCCATATTATTCGCTCTTTGCTTCTTTCATTCAGTTTGCAGTCAAAGATATAAATTTGGTCCATTAGGTTGGAATAAGACATATCCATTTAATATAGGCGATCTCACAATATCAGCATCCGTGCTGCGTAATTATCTCGAAAAGTGTAGTCATATACCGTGGGAAGACTTGCGATACTTATTCGGTGAGATAATGTATGGCGGTCATATTACAGATGATTGGGATCGTCGTTTATGCCAAACATATTTAGAGGAAATTTTACAACAGGACTTAATTGACGGCGACTTTGAGCTGTGTCCAGGATTCCCTTCTCCCCCGAATTTAGATTTTCAAGGATATCATGATTATATTTCTGAAGTTTTACCTGTTGATTCACCTACACTGTACGGTCTACATCCTAATGCCGAAATCGGTTTCCTAACAAACATATCTGAGCAGATGCTAAAAACCATATTCGAATTGCAACCAAGGCAATCCGATTTAAGTACGAACTATGGAGCGCCCCGAGAAGAATTAGTTAAAATAATGATTGATGATTTTCTTGATAAATTGCGAGATGAATTTAATCTACAAGCATTACTGAATCGGGTAGGAAGCAAAACCCCGTTTGTTGTCGTTGCTCTTCAAGAATCGGAACGCATGAACATGTTAATACATGAAATAAAACGTTCCTTGCGAGAGTTACTGTTAGGTTTAAAGGGTGAGCTTACTTTAACTGTAGAAATGGAACGACTCGATCATGCCATATTTTACGATCAAATACCCGAGACTTGGATGAATTTAGCATATCCAAGCATGTTAAATCTGCAAAGTTGGTTCGCCGATTTATTGCACAGAATCAAAGAGTTATCCTTATGGCTTAATGACTTTAAATTACCTTGTACGATTTGGCTGGGGGGACTTTTCAGCCCACAGAGTTTCCTTACAGCCATAATGCAAGAAAGCGCAAGAAAGCGCGACTTACCGCTCGATCGTATGTGTTTACATTGTGACGTAACCAAGAAGGATAAAGATTCGATTACGTAAGTTAAAGTAACTCAAATGAACATATTTATATATACATATGGTATATTCAAAATTTATACACTTAATCTTAGTTTGCCTCCCATCGAAGGTGCATTTGTTCATGGACTTTTTTTGGATGGTGCAAGTTGGGATTGCCAGCTTAATTCAATCGTTCCTCTGCACCCGAAAGAACTGTTTTGTGCTTTACCAATAATTTACATCAAATCAGTAGTGCAAAGTAAACACGATTTTCTACATGTATACGAATGTCCTCTTTATAAAACCAGGTTTGTTGGATAACGCATCCTAACTAAATAAATCAAATTTATTCAGAAGAAAGAAAGCTAAGTTTCGGTTAGTTCCTATTGTTAGGGATTATTCATCATTTATATATTACATACATGTATGACACGGTATGTTATTAATTGAAGCATTTTGTTTTGGAGGCGTTGTATACGCCTCTATGAAAATGGACATAAATGTTTCTACGCTTCTGGTAAACGCTTCTATCGTAAATTCGTATAAGACGAAGAGAAACTTATTAAATCTTTCACATTGCGATATGTCATTATTTCGAGGATATTAAAGACTCCAACTAGCTATTAGAAACCACATAGACAAGAACAAATAATGTTCGTCTTCTATAGTTTTTTGAAACGTTTAAAAAAATTGCAATTAAAACCCGTAACTATAAATTGAAGCTTCACCGAGAAGATAAACCTATTCAAAGATGACAAAACAAGAAGCATCTTGCATGTAAAACTTGAAATCGCTAACAAAATTTCGAAATTTTGCTTTTGACAAAATATTTTCTTGACTAAAGTCTTAGCATCTAAGTCACTACAGTCACTAGCGTCGAAAGCTATCTAAAACTTTTTCGAAAACTCGTAACGCATTTGAGATTTGAACGAGTTGTTAGTTGTAACTCTTTGCCTACTCGCTTTTCAATTTAATACATGATGGCGAATATATTTTTTAGTTTTAATTCCTTTTATTGTATGTTTGTATATGTTTTGCAAGACTCAAATTTCTATATATATTTTTAGATTTCGTGAAAGTACCTATGTGTGGACATTTAATTTAAAAACATGTGACAGACCAGCAAAATGGATCTTAGGAGGAGTTGCGTTGTTATTGCAACCATAAGTTGAGAAGGAAGCGGGTACTTATAAGCAAACGAAAAAAAACCTATGAAAAGTTTACTGAAGAGAAAAGATTTCTTAATGTTAAGCGGACGAAAAGTAAACTTTCAAAGCTATTAGCATAAAAAAAAACTTATTACTGTTGTTATTATTATAATTTTAGACTAATGAAATAAATTCTTAGACTAAAAAAAAAAAGACATTGAGCACTAGAAACACAGGCTATCGACTCTAATTTATATAAATGTACATTAGATATTGAGCCTAGTAGTTTTGAATTGATATTCTGTTGTGAAGCTGATTTTAGAATGTCCAAAGGGTTAATCGTTACAAATGCAAAACTTCTAGCCAAGGAAAAGTTAAGGCAGTCGCAGAGAATGTGCTTTATAGTGAGAATTTGTCCACAAATCCAGATTGGGGAGGAAGACTTCTTCAAGATCCATTGGTGAGTTACAATTGTATGACCAAGGCGAATTCTCGAAAATGTTTAGATCTTAGTTTTTCTCAACATTTGCTGGATATAAAAGTGGGGTTAATTGAGGGATAATGGAAGGGTAGCGTTGATGATAGTATTGTAGATTTCCTTCTATAATTTTCTCTTTAACTTTTCTTTCAATGTATCTATGAAGATCCAACTTTGCCATGACATCATCCATAATTAGAGGAGCAGAAGCAGCATACTTTGCCGCCCGATCAGCCCGCTCATTTCAAAATAAACCCATATGACTAGGTACCGATAGCATTTTAATAGATTCGAGGATGTTGATTGCCTTCGTACTATCTTTTTCTTTTGTAAAAATGTATACATCGCCTGCGTAGAGGCAATGTTCCACTCTTGGTACACGACAAAGAATTTTGCTAATTTCGTTGAAGGTGATTTGGAAAAGCGTGACAGAAAGAGGAGATCCTTGCGGAATGCCATTCATTAGCGGAAAGGAATCAGAGACATGATTGTTGATTCTAACTTTAAACCGCCGATGCGACATGAATGATTTGATGTAGTTGAAAAATTTGGGTCCAACATTCCATGATTTCAAGAGTCTTAAACTAACATGAAGACCAACTCTGTCAAATGCTTTTTCGAAATCAATTGAAAGAATTATTACATGGTTTCGTTCGGAAATTGCTTTGCTTGAAAAATAATCAATATCTAACAGAGCGTCGATGTACCCTCTACCCCGCTTGAAACCAACTTGTTGCTTTGTTATCAGATTCTTGAACTCAAGAAACCAAGATAATCTAGATGCCATAATCTTTTCCAATACCTTTGAGAGGCAAGATAAAAGGGAGATTGGGCGATAGTCCGATGCGATGGAGGCATTTTTTGACTTTGGAATTGGAACAACTGTAGCCAGTTTCCACACGTAGGTTATATGGCCAGTCAAAAATACCGTATTATATAGGTCCAGTAATTTCTTTTTACTAGACTTAGACATAGCGCTGATCATTTGGTATGAGATGCGGTCTAGACCAGGTATCCTCCCCTTCAAATTGGAGAGACAACTTCCAAGTTCTAAGGTGGATATGCAATTTTCCAGGAACATGGCACATCTATCAATATTATTTCAAAGAGATATTGGAGTCCTTTCATTTTCGACGAAAGCACTGAAGAAGTTGCTGTCAGAGGAGTGTTCGCACCACACTTTTCCAAAGTAATTAGAAATCTCATCTGCATCAGTTAAAGTTCCATTGGGAGTGCAGATGGCAGAGATTTCGTTCAGATTTGAAGTTCCATTAAGTCTGTTGATTTTGTTCCTGACAACTTTCATTGATGTATTTCTGTGAATTCCTCCCGAAAAAAGTTCGAACCTAAGTGCCTTTGATTTTCGTAGTTCCTTCCTGAATAGAGCATTGGCCTTTTTGTATAATAACAAATGATCCTGAACAGGACATCTCTTAAAGCGGTGCCATAGATTCATTTTATTTTTCCTCAAAAACGAAAGCGTGTTGTTCCACCAAGGAACCCTAGCTCGTTTAAAAGAGGTGTTGGATTGAGGAATAGAAAGGTGAGCAGCCGTGCGAATCGCTTCAGACATAATGGCAGCATCATGGTTGCAGTTCCCGTTAAATGGCTTTGAATTCAGAAATGACTTGGCCTGTTTGGAGTAATTGATCAGATCCGCTTTATCTAGGAGAAATTTGGCCTGTTTTACTGGAGTAACAGAGGACTTTGAAAGGTTAAGATCGATTATGATTGGAAAGTGATGACTGTTATGTAGATCATCAGAAATAGGCCAGGAAACCAGAGGAAGAAGTGAGGAAGAGCAACATGTCAAATCAATATGTGAAAAGGTGTGATGAGTTGAAAAGTGCGTTGGTTTTCCATCATTTAAAATGCAGAGATGGCTTTGAATGAAAGCCTTTTCTAAGACAGTACCACGAGTGTTGTTCACTGTTGAGTCCCAGATGGTATTCCAGCTATTAAAGTCGCCGCATATAATTAATGGGGGGAATGTACGGAGAATAAAATGAAGAGTTTTTGCTGAGAAAACGATTATGAAAGGGGGATATAGAGCGAAAGCACTGCAAATTTTATGTTAGAGATTATTTGTATCGCTGCGGCTTGTATGTTTGAGCTAAAATTTAAGCTTTTATGAGGTATACTTGATTTTATGAAAACACCAACTCCTTGTTTGGAATATGATTTTTGATCAGCATTCGTGAAGTATCCAGTTTACGATTTGGGTGGAATAGGATTAAAAGAGCTTCTACAATGGGTTTTTTGAAGGGATATAAAGGTGGGATTAAAATCATTTATGAGTGTACGGAGTTCATCAAAATTATTAATAAGTCCTTTAATGTTCCATTGTGGAATTTTAAAAACTTTATTAAAATGGCTGTTATTGAGCTTTTGGTCTGACCGTGGCCATTTTAACATACACTGTTTGTTTGATTCTTGTTAAAATACGCATCATGTTTTAAATCGCTATGTGTTACTGTGTAAAAATTGCCTTAAATTAAAACAAGTAAAGTAAAGTAAAAACAAGTCAAACCATTGCTTATACATTGTTAAATACCGTACGTCACTTCAGTTAATACAGTTATTCATATAACCACTTTCAAAATAGGTTATGATATGGGAAATGGTCGAAAAAATGGTCCGATCGGAACAATCGTCCTTAGACGAAAACAAATCGATCTCCCAAATTTCTTCGAAACATCGCAAAAATCGCGAAAACGAGGCTTACAGTGATTCTCAATCGATCAGTATAAAGGCGAGTCTATCCCAAGCCGCTTTGGATGTTGCATACATCCGCACAACGTTAATAAATTGTTGTGCCACAAGTGTGGGCAAATCTTCAGTACTTCATACATTAAATGAGTACATAAATTTTTGTCACACTACATTTCATTTGTGGGTAGTTAAAATGTGACCGGAGAGACAAGAAAAAATACTTATGCCGGTTTTTTAGCTATTCGAAAGGGATCACAACCATTCTTAAGCTTGAACGTTAGGCGAAATTTTAGCTTTCCCTCTTACATTTTCTGGGAAGGCGGACCGAACTCGTTAAATTTATTCAAATGAAACATTTCAATCAATTGTCATTTAATCATTTCCATGGTTAGCCATTGATCTCTAAAACTATTGACTTATTCCCTTCTTGACATGTTCCGGTATAAATATCATATTCGTTTTCCTTATAAAAATTGCTTGGTAGGATTAGTAGGAGGAGATCTTCATTAAATATTTATAAAAATTTTAGAAACTTTAGAACGTACTACACTGTATAGGTAGTCAATAGTGTAACAGCTTTCTTACTTCTGACACCCTTTAATTTGATACTCTTGGTTATTGATAACCAAATACTTTCTATACCTGCATTTCAAGAACAACGCGAAATGTTAAAAACAAAACAAACTATTATACTTAAGTATTTCGATTGTAAAATAAATAGACTTAGATCACTTCAGTGTTCTCGTGTCAATTTTCTATTCTAGGATTAATATATAAATACTGTTAATGTTGGCAAAAGAATACGATTATAGCGGTGTATATGTGTATTGGCGTGATCGTATGACGATGATGTGTTAGCAGTTATTCGTATTCGAAAGAATGTGATTTTGAGCATTGTTACTATTTTCCATTTTCAACTTACTTACATAATGAAAAGTTTCAAAATTTAATATGAATATAGATTTATCGGATTCCCTTCTTTACGTACATATACGAAAACTGTTAAAGATCACTTTCATATTTATAGTTAAGGGGAAAAAAAGTTTCCATAACATTTTAGTAAAGATTATGGAGCCAATTATGGGCCCAAACATTTCATTTAAACTAATTTATTGTTCTTGAGATCTCAGCAGTTTCATATCTTGCCTTATGATAAAATAATTCTTCAAATGTTATGCCCATTACATATACAGAATAGGAAATAGGTTTGCCAAATATGAATGGCGTGTTTTGGGGCAAGAACAGGATGGTTCAATGTTGGTAAGAGAACTCGGTCTACCTTTCACATTAAAACTGCGCTCGCTTCAGGAAGGTTCATTTGACAGCAAAACTGGTGACTATGTATATCGCCAATAAGCGTCATTTTATGGAGGTTTCAGTTTCCACTTGCAACTCCATAAACAGCCTTTTATTAAAGTTATGTTTACTGAAGCGAGATGTGTTATGGATACTTGAAAATTATTGTAGGAATAATATCGTCATTTAAACCTCAAAATTTTTTTTTTTCCAGAAACGGCACACTTGCATAAATTATGATCAAAATAGAATCCAAAAACAGCGCACTTGAAGTGTATGAAAAGTCGACCCTGCCCGAAGAAGAAAACGACTTTTTGCTTAATTTAGCAAATTAAAAAGCCTTATTATTATTAGTATACTAAATTTTAGCGTTTATTCGTCTTTTCGATTCTTTTTATTTTCTTTTTTTATTTTAAATAATATTTAAGAAATATATTATTCGGAATGTTTAGAGTTAGATTTTCTAATTGCTTTGATTGTAAGTAAATAAAATATATGTTTTTCAATTTTTAATAAACAATAATTAAGCACTTATCAGTTTGAAAGTTGGTGAATAATTAAGGGGAAAAAGTTAGTTTTTCTTTAATTTTTGTTAACTACTACGAGGTAGTTACGGAAAGATATACAATGAATAGTGCACTATCGGACTTGACTTTATTTATAATTAAAAAAAAATCTACATCTAAATCGATCCAAATCCCCATCCCGCGCTACAGTAACCAAAACCATTTCGCTGAGTAATAAATGTTTCTTCATCATCCTTTTTTTTGGGATAGGCAGACAAGAAAAATTAAAGTTCATTTACTTTGCTGTAACTAAAAAGGTATATATAATAATAAGTATTCGTTAAAGCTCGTTACCTTCGTGCTTATACAGTTGACATTGACATAAGATACGTTTCGCTTTTGACTTTTTAAAATTTCGAATGTGTAGATCGATAGATAATCCCAATTATCAATGCTTACATTAAGTAAAGGATTTTTGCTTTTGAAATATATGGTGTTGTGAAGTTGAAAAATCTTATTAAAGTTCCACATGTTTCCCATGCTTATTAATTACTTTAAGTTTTTCCTGTTTTGGCGCCACATTATCAGCCGGAATATTCTCCTTTATGGGGGCAGGTTCTTTCGGTATTCGAGTTCCCTCCATGGATGGACTTTTTACAGTTTTGGTTGTGCTCGGCTTCTCTGTAGTGCTCGATTTTAATGACGTCCTTGTCGTCGTCGTGCTTGCAGAAGGGACGACGGTTGTCTTTGCTGAGATAACGGGCTTCGATGTTGTCGGAGTAGATCTGGCATGAGTGACTGTAGGTTTAGTAACGACTGGTGGCGCTGTTGTCGTCTTTTCCATTCGTGGTTTCAAAGAAGGTTCAATTTCCATGCCTTCATATCTCACATTATTTATCCGGGCTTGTAGCATTGGCTTTTTGGGCACTGGCGATTTAACACGAACGAGGAAACGATTAAACGGCGATCCCAAATATAAATAATCATTAAATTCTAACACATGACAGGCCGCTCCAACACTTTTATCAAAACCATGCAAAGATCCCACTATATTGCCATCCCAATCTAGACGAACAATTGTAGAACGTTTCGGAATCATAAAAGAGACACTTTCGCCGTGGCCAATAAAGTGCACAAAACGTTGCGAAAATTTGTTCGGGTAAATATTATTGAATGCACGAAATGGCGCCTCGAACAAATATAAGATACGAGCCAAAAATAAACGCAAATTAGGGAATTCCGAGAAGATGGCAAAAAGACTAGGATTCTGGCTGTCCACAGAGAGAATTAACGGAACCCAAATTCCATCTTCGTTTGGCGTTAAATTGTCGGGCAATCCAGGCAAACCTTCGACAAAGACCTCGCCTTTACCAGCACTGCTGCCTTTAAGATGATATTTCATTAAGCGCGATGCTCCTGTTTCTGCAACAACCAAAAAATCCTCCTCAGGGCTTAAAGCAACACCGTTTGCAAAATATAAATTATCAAGCAGTACTTTACTTTCATTTTTTACACGATCGTATTTAAAAAGACTGAAATGGAATGTTTAATTCAATTTGTTTTTACGAGCATACAAACACACGAAAAAAAAGCATTATTAATTGAGAAATTAAAATTATAAAACCATAGGAATAAGGATCAAGATCAGCATATTAATTTATGACAACGAGATAGCTCATACAGTAACTTGGTAACGGTACCATAAAAAGTCATTTTCTTCTTGATGCATATGGATATATTTGCGGTTATCTTGGACATTTTGATTCAAAATTTCGTCCAGACTGTCCGCTCCGAATAATTTTTTACAATCTTTCATCAAATTAGGTCTTAAATATTTCGGAGAATTTTTTGAAGTCCAATTTCAAAAAGTATTACGGATATAGCGGTTCGGAGTAGTGGTAGATATCTCGAAAGAAGTTTTTTACACAACTCGTGTGGCAATAAGTCCAAGTTATCGACATGTATTGAGCAACTATTGTTATGCTATAAATACGTACTTTATGGGGAAACGTAGAAACTATCCTACATGTATGTGACGAAAAAAATGTATGGCTCATGTGTTCTAAAACATAAAATCAAGACTTAAAAAGCGGCTGTCGTCGTTCCCTGTAAACAAATACTTGATAATAATTTCTACGGGTTACAATTTGTTATCTTAATATGCTCTAACTTCGAGATAGTAATGTAAAGAAATTATATTTAAATATTCATTGCAACCGTGCTAAGCAGAACTTACCGGCCGGAAGGATTCGCAAAGGCTGTAAATACCAAATCTTGTAATAAAAAGTCAGAACTTGAATCTGTCCAATATATGTTCCCATCTTTATCAACGGCAACATCATTAAATAATTTTGCGGGACGATTGACTGTTTTGCCAGGCAGCTCTTGGAGCGGTGAAACCAATAATTGTTTCTTTTTAGTTTTAAGATCGAATAACCAAATTCCATAATACGCATCGGCAATAATTAAATTATTCCCTTTAGTATCAAAAGCCAAACCTAATGGTCGACCGCAGCGTTTTTCCTCAAAAACATCTTCTACGACGAATAAAAATTCTATACTGTAGCAAATGTGCAAAATCATAGTAAACTTAAAGTTATATAAGTACCACATGCTTGGCCAAGTTTGGTGACATGCGTTATGTGAGCACCATTTACTTTAATGACTTCACCACCGTGAATACCCATATAAATGTCATTCCCGCTAGATTTTATTAAACATTCCGGCCCATAAATGCGACCGTTCAGCAATCGTTCCGCATTGTCTAAATGATGATTTGGTTCTAAAGCACCTTTTAAGTCTTTATTGGCTGCAAGTCTAAATTATGGTAACAGTCGTGCATGAATGCATTTGCAAATTATTTAATCAATAAGAAATGGTTTCTCTTCGGCGATTACTTACTTGAAACCCACAAATGGGAAAGTCGTACGTGGCGGTAAACCAGGTATAAGACATACAATTAAAAATACAACAATAAAATTTACGGCTTTAATCCCCAATCCATACAGTAAACCCATTATTATGTTTTTTCACTCTACAAATTTTTCAAAGAAATTTGTATATATACGTATATATGTACGTACTATTACGAACTTTGGAATCGAAAATTTATATCTCCGAAATAGTCCACACACCGTTAAAAAAGTCGTTCAACTTCTTCACCTTTATTTGCAAAATATAAAATGTGCTATGAAATTTTCTCCGGAGCGCCGACACTAACCTACATTGCGAAAATTTTGCACAGTCTCCAAAAAGAAGTCTGCAAAATAAAACAAACCAATAGAAAAAAATCGCAAGTATATGACACGCGTTATCATCTATTTTGTTCTATGACATTTAACGATTCATTTACTGTGTGTTGTTTTTTTCTGCAAGCTTTCCGATAAGAAAAAATAGCTAGCGAAGAAGAAAGACAGAAAATATATCAAGCGATACTCATGTAAGCGATTATTAAAAAGTGGTGATTTGCTCTCTATCTCTCTTTCTCGTTCTCTCTCTTTCTTTATTGGTTTCTCTCTTCTCCAGGCATTTGTAAAAAAAAAAATGGAATAACGATGACAGCAATACGACAATGCTGCCAAGTATTCAAACAAATCTTCTCAGAGAGACTAATTGGTATCGAGAGAATCTGAGAATAAGCGTATTATCTATGATGCCTTTAAAAAATAAGCGTATTATCTATGGTGCCTTTAAAAAATAGGCGTATTATCTATGGTGCCGAGGTATGCGAGTTTAGCTGTCGAAACACGATTGTAGGAAATTCGACGATGTTGCAGGATAAGATCTACTTACTGATAATGCTAAAGGAAAAAAATATAAAAATATATCAATAATTAATAAACAATTCATTAGAAATTTATTTTAATTCTCATTTAAGAAGATAAGAATTGATTTCATAAAACAGAGTTGATTTGTTCATAATTAATTTTGTTTTCGTGTTGTTATCTTCATGTGTTTTGCATTTAAGAACTAAAGTTTTACGATTCAAAATTATTATTTTTTTTTTTTTTTTGTTTTTGATTCTACTGATGTCGGAATAACATACTTCCTTGCGTAAACTAATAACATGGCAGAAGGCACAACGGGAACAACACAAGACCAAGGTAAGTAAATAATATTATTAGATATATTAAGCTATTCTTTTAAGAACTTTGATTAAAATAGGACGTGGCCATGAAGATTACTATTTGATAGCTGACCAAGATCAAAATAATGCGAACAAAGAAAGCGCAAAACGTTATTCAAGGTGCAGCAGCGCGGGCAGCATTCACACACCAAACTCTTCACCCCATCACACAGGTAGGAAATGTCAATATTAACACATCCCAGTAATAATGGCATCTTATGGATTTTAGATGATGATGATGATAGCGGCGATAATAGTATTGGACGTGCAGGTGCAACGGTTACCACTGCTTTAAGTTATAAGGAACGGCGTCGAGAAGCCCATACGCAGGCCGAACAAAAGCGTCGCGATGCTATTAAAAAGGGTTATGATAATTTGCAAGAATTGGTACCCAATTGCCAACAAAATGACACTTCGGGTTACAAATTAAGTAAGCAACTTATATTGCAAAAATCGATAGACTATATTGGGTATCTAAATCAGCAAAAGAAGAAGCAAGAAGAGGAATTTGCATCTCTTCAAAAGGAGGTAATTGCCTTACGTATTATACAAAATAGTTACGAACATATGTTGCAACATCAAAAAGCTAATCCCGGACCTGAAGAAGCTCGCCTTACCGATGATGCAAAATTTCAAGTGGTATTTATAACATAAACTAATGGTTTTAAAATTTTTATTAATTCCTTTTTTTCTCCCAGTTTCAAGCTTTGATGGATGAAATGTTTATAACCTTTCAACATATTCCAATGGACAATTTTAAACAACTTATTGCCGGTGTTATCCCTTGGTTGGAAGAGCATTGCAAACCACACATATTAAGAAATATATTAAGTTACACGCTTCAACAGATGCAAGCTTCTCAGAATCGAAAGCAGAAATCCCCACAAGAAACATCTGATATGGACGAGCAAGCCGCCCTTACTTTTAGTTAATTTTCTGTGATTTTATTATTTTTACTTAAGCCATTTATAGTTTTATCTTTTTTTTTTCTTAACGTTTCATTCAAATTTTCGTATTTTTATAAAAATCTATATCTATATTACGATTACGATGCATCGGACCATGTAATGAGAGGAGGATACTTAAGGCGAACTGTCGAATTGTCTATGCAATTTAACCACAAATCATATCCAATACAATATTTATCATTTGTTTTCCATTTAATTACGTTTTTAATAACTACTCCTTTCTGATCAAAGTTAAGCAATAAAAGCAAATCCAAAAGTTTACACAACGTATAGAACTTCCAAGGTTTAATTTGTCTACAATTACTTTCAATAACATTTCGTATTTGTCCCATTAAATAATCGTAGCTATCAATATTAGGCATAAAACGCGATTCATGTTTAATTTTCAAGCAACCGTCCTTTAATGTAAGTATTAAGCCTTCCAAGAAATTTTCATTTTTCACTTTAAATAAAATTGCAGATATTTGAAGCAAAATTAAGGGCAATTCGTGTGTGAACTCGTGAGCTCTAACAAAGCAAGTTGAGGCGAGTTTTCTTATTTTTTCACATTGGTGACTAAGCAGATTCCAAGTGAGTTGACGAAATGATTGCATGAAAGAAGCGGTCGACGTTTCATCCCCATGCAAGTATTCCACCTTTTGCAAAAATCCCAAATACAGAAGAAGGGATTTCGTTGAAGTTTTTTTTGATAAACAATAGCTTAAAATGTAATCACAAACTATTGGAAATTTACGCAAAATATAGCTAAATGTAATATCTGAAGGCTCCCAATTTAAAGTTCTATCCTCGCATTGACCGCATTGACTGCGTTGAGCGGTTATCTTATTGACTAAAGAGCTAAACAATTGCAATGAAGCATTGTATGTAGTCCACTCAGCGCTGTCGATATATTTTACAGTAGCCATTAATATTTCACTGTAATATGGGCTGATTGCTTCTTTGATTTCAGCGTCCTTGACTAAAACACAAAGATAGTGAAGAACCAAAGCCTCAATGCGATCACAATTTGCTTTATCGTGATCGTTCGCCTCGAACGGTTGTAGGTTCAATATTTTTAGAAGGTCTGTAACTGCTTTTTCCAAGATATATCCAGAACGTTTATTCTCGTTTTTTACAATATGTAAGATCATAATTGAGAAGCCTGCTCCTCTTCTACTAGTACTAATAAAATTATCTTCTAATTGATACAGACACTGAACGCGTGTGCACAAAAAGCTATAAGCCCGGGAACTGGTAGGCAATTGCAACGTTATATTTTTCGTCAATTGACCAATGGAAGATCCAGCCGCTTCTGTAGCTCCTTTGTGTCTTGTATGTATCAATATAGATTCAATAATTTGTAGGCAAGCTCGCAAACATTTCCAATCGTCATCAGACGTTTCACTAGTTTTTATCAAAAAACAGCCTAGTGTAGAAGCAATATCACTGCATGCTCTCAAACTAAACCAAAAGGAGGTGATCAAAAATTTCCTGTCATCTTCATGATTTTCACTTATATATTCACTACGAGCAATCAACATTTCAAGGCTCTGATCCATGTCCTCGAAAGTGACATTATATTGTTTATACGTTGTATTCGAAAGACTAAGCATATCCAGTATAGTATTTACAATAGCCTCAGAAATGCATAAAATTTTAGAAATACTCTTCAATATTAAATCTGCTCTAGATTTGGCAATTGTATCAAGTACAGATATATATCCAAATAAATGTCCGCTCTTACAAGCTAATAAAGGATCTTCGTTAAAAGATTTTATACTGGCGCCCAGTCGAACAATAATATCATGAACTAATAAGCAAATGTCTTCAGAGCTCGGGTCATTCTGTAAAAGAATTGTTGCATATATCGAACTTAAATTACATTTGTCGATATCGGGTGAAGAAAACATTGTCTTGCACATTTCTATCATAGAGTTATTAGGCGCCTGTCCAGGCATTAATTGCATAAGATTTAATGTAGTTTCACGGCTATCCTCAAAAGCGGTGGTAGTATCCTCCAATGAAACGTATAAGCTTTTCCACATTTCTGTCGCATTTATTACATTCCGTCTCTTCAAAAAGGAACCGAGTTTCCCATTTTCAGATATTTGGCAACTTTTCGCATTTTTTTTCACACTGTCGATGTAAAGCGAATTCATAAGTATTTCGATCATTTTCAATGAAAAAATCTTTGGCTGATATAGAGTGTTGTTCATATTCTTCTCGCATAGTTCTTGCAATTGTTTGAAGAATTTTGTAATGCTCGCTGCAGATGATGACGATGGCTCGCCCAGTCTTGCAAATATTTTTGCCGTATAATTGATGACGGCGGGCATTTTAGCGAAAATGCTATTTCGAAAATGTGAACTTTCCACAGAGATGTGAGATTCTATGAAATGATAAATGAATTCTAAACTATCCTCGATTGCGAAATTTTCTAAATTATCTACAATAAATGCAAATATATGCAGTTGCACTTCTAAATTAAATTGAAAACAATTCGTTAACAATTCTGTGCTAAATTTAAAAAAATATAATTTAGACAAATTAAAAACATGCTTTGAAAAAGTGCTAAGTAATATAATTGAACGGTAATCGCTTAAATTATCCTCTAAATTACTTTCACTTTGTATATAATCTACTTCCTTCAATATTTGTTGAATGATTTGAAATAGCTGATCCTTTTTACATACATACGGAATCCAATGGGCATATAAATTTCGAATTTCAATTTCCGAGCCTTTAGTTAATACATCAGCAATAAAGGGCAATATGTGATCCGAGGCACGATCACTTAGCTTTTTTATAAGACATTGACTAGGGGCAAGTAGATTTTTATGATAAAGACTCATACGTAATCCATTTAAAAAGTCTTTCTTATCATAGTCCGTTAGTAATAAAAATTCTTCTAAAGAATTTCTCGTAAAGATACTACCAAGTATGTACAATTTATTCCGATTTGTCCAAGGCCAAAATTTTACGATATGCACGAAGTAAGCGAGTGCCGTCGCTTTGTTAAGGCAGGAATTATTTAATAGATGTAAAACTTCATCCTTGATAGAATTCTGACCGCATTGTAAGCAGAAGTAAATTTGATCCAAACGTAAGGTTGGCATTTCTAAGTCTGGCGATTTTTTACAACACAGATTAAGACATCTCATGATGATTAATAATGATGAATGATTTTTATCTACCGCTTTGCCGAGGGCTTCGTGGCATAGTAATCTCATTGACTCAAATTCCAATTGGTTGAAGTGGTTACTCTGTAGCAAGGATTGTATGATTAAAAAATCTTTAATGCCCAAATGTGACTTGGATATGTCATATATACGATGAAAATAATTTTCTATTATATCATATTTTTTAACGATTTCAAAATATGTTCGAGTAGCCAGATTAATAATCAGTAGGTTGAAGACTTTTGGATTTTTGTCATAATTGCATAACTCCTTATCGATAATATCCTTAATATGTTCCAGTATTTGAATAGCTTCGTCTTTTCCCAATGTCTTTTTGCGAATTTCCTATAATATGCAAGAGAAAAGAAAAAGGAAAAAAACACTTTTTTTAAATTTTGTAAAACAAAATGTCCAATTTTATAAGTGGAAAGAATACATGACGAGCCACACAAAGGCCCGAGGTACGAAATGTGCAAATTAAGCTTGAACTCTAAGAACAAGAGAAATACAATGCAATATTTGATTAATTTTTCTTGGGAATACATACATATTTTTATATATATTTTTGTTTATTATTAATTTCATCTTTTCATATCATTGCTAAATAGTCTGTAAATAAGTACAAAAAAGTCTGTACTTTTCTTTTACTAATCATCTAATTTCTTTAATAAATGCTGCTATGATTTTATAGGCGTGGCATTCCATTTTACCCTATTTCCAAAAATAAAAAAATTACTCTTTCCATATAATAACTTATACAAGTGCTTTGCTTGAAATATAATATATAATCTTTTTATTATAAATGTATCAAAAATAGGCATTCATCTCCCCTTGTACGTCTCCTCAATAGTTTTATACAATTTTTATAGGCGTGGCATTCGATTTTACCCTATTTTCAAAAATAAAAAGATTACTCTTTCCATATAATAACTTATACAAGTGCTTTGCTTGAAATATAATATACAATCTTTTTTATATAAATGTATCAAAAATAGGCATTCATCTCCCCTTGTACGTCTCCTCAATAGTTTTATACAATTTTTATAGGCGTGGCATTCGATTTTACCCTATTAACGCCCACTTTTTGATTGAAATTGGTTAAAAATATTGTTTTTCTACTCGTTAATACAACGACAAAAATTTTCATACTTGATAACTGATCCTGCAACGCTTGCACAAAAATTTAGGATGAGATTAATTTATTTAATGCAAACGAATTTGGAAATGCGTTTAGTGTTAAAGAAGATATATAGTTGTGTAGATAAGATTAATGTTGCTTACTAATGCGACTGACCTCTATAACCACTTTGTAAAGTATATACAAACCCTTATCTCAAAAGATTTCCGAAACTTTTCTTTAACAAAGAGTGTGGAAAAATTTTTCAATACAAAATTTTATAGAGAAAGCCAAGAACAAAAAGCCATTTGCACTTATTTCCGTAATTTCGTTTGTTCGTTTCTATTTGAATTTTCCATTTTACTTCTTTTTATTTCATTTTTTGAAACCTTTACCGAATCGTTTTCTATGTCGGCGCCAGTAATCTATCATTGCAATGCAAATTACAATGCGTAATATTGTCCACCAGATAGCAGTAAGTTTGGAAGTACATGTTTATATATATAAAAAAAATGAAAAAAAAAAAAAACTATTTAATTATTTCCAGATACTCTCGCTGTACGCTTTCATACTGACAGCGCTTCACGAAAAACCACAGACTTCGAACAAAATTAAACCGAAAAAATTTTTTTTTCTCATCTGCTTCTTTCATTCCATCAAATATTGTCATTTTTGTTCCTTTGTTTTTTTATTTAAATAAAATTGTTCAACAAAATGAAGAAAAAAACGTTTAAAAAAAAAACTCTTTAAATAAAGAACATTTTTTTTTTATACAAATAATCAAACTTGTGTTTCTATAATTCGCTATAACTGATTTATAGGGAATATCGGAAAAAGTCTTACAAACTGAGATTTTTATCTCGAAAAGTAATGAAAAGTAATCCCTTTGAAATGATGCTTTCTTTGGCCACAACGCGAAAAGAATAAAAAAAAAAACAATTTTTTTCTTTAATTTACACAAGTTTTGAAAAGTAAAGAAAACAATAATTTTGAAAGTCACCCGCTTACCTAATTTTCTTTTTAAATCTTTTTAATCAGCAAAAAATGGGAGCAAATAAAGGTAACGTTTCATAAAAAAGTGTGGGCCGATACGAAGATGAAATTCTGTCCTCAGTGGATTCCCGGCCTTATGCGCGAACAACAATAACCAATATGACAAGCTTTCAAAAATTTACATCCTGCCATGAATTGTTGTCACAGTCTGTTGCTGAGTTTTCGACAAGTGGATATGAATTCCATCTCTCTGACAAAGAGTTAATAGAATGCTGCACTAAAGCGGAGGATGCAATGAAAGAAGCAAAAAATGTAGAGGCTCCCGAAGAGCAAGAAACAATTGTGGATGTAGTGTTTGAGAACTCTCCAGATGACAACAAAAAAAAAACAATAGTTGACATAATATTTGAGGACTTTTCTACATCGCCTTTTAATAGTCCTGTAGTATCACCGGAAACTAAGTTAAGAAATTTGGAACGGTCCCCTTTATATATTTTACGCGAAAAACCAAGAAAAACCTATAGTCGCGAATTTAGAGAAAAGGCAAAATTGGCTCTTTTGTACGATTCTACGCCAGAAAGTAAGTAGCTCTTTATAAGCTTTTTTTAAAAAGTCTAGCTTTCTAAATTCATTTTAGGAGAAGATTCAGACCGTGGTTATATCGAAAAAGAAGACACATACAACGCAAATGAAAGTAAGTTGTTTTTAAAATCCGCGATGAGACAATATTTAAATTAATCCAAAATTTTTTAGATCTAGTACCATCTAATCAGTATAAAAGCAACAATTACGATTCGGATGACGATGATAATGACATTTTTGCTTTCATAAGCACTCAGAAAATCCTACGTCAAGATGTGAAGGTCAATAATGTTACATCAGGACTTCAAAAGGTTAGCGGGGAACGGCCGGAGTTGGGAGAAGGCAAAAATGAAGTTTCTGCTGGTTTTGAACCAGCGAATGGTAAAACAATCCCCATATCGGAAGAGAGCAAAAGATCCGTACAAAGTATTCTAAAAGAATTTCAAGGCAATTTGCATGAAAAATATTATGAAAGTGTACTAAAAGACACAAAAGCTGAAATATTGATTAAAAGGACGTTTGGAAAAACTGCAAACAGCAGTGCGCAAATAGCCAAAAAAACAGACGTTCAAGCGATGTGCAAAGAAGAAAAAATGGACGAAGCTCCCAGCACCAGCAAATTTGCAGCAGTAGCTGCTCCGTGCCGTAAATGGCGTTCGCTTTCTTTAAATCCAAAATTTAACAGGCCAATAAATGAGCGGATAGCCCAGGGTATGATATTCCTCATATTTCATTATGCTTATTATTTCATTATTATTTTGATTGGCTTTAAAGGTAACCAAAGAGACAAGAGCTTGGTGCTGAGAGAAACTAATACTAATGTTACATCAGGATTTCAAAAGGTTAGCGGAGAACGGCCGGAGTTGGGAGAAGGCAAAAATGAAGTTTCTGCTGGTTTTGAAACAGCGAATGGTAAAACAATCCCCATATCGGAAGAGAGTAAAAGAGCCGTGCAAAATATTTTAAGAGAATTTCAAGACAATTTGCAAGAAACGAATTATGAAACTGAACTGAAAGACATGAAAGCTCGAATGCAGTCCAAGTTTGGAAAAACTGCAAACAGCAGTGCGCAAATAGCCAAAAAAA